CCCCTTTCACTACTACATTGTTCCTCCTTCTGTCTCTCTTTTCTAACTCTCTCCACCTTTCTAGCTCTTTTACCTTCGCTTCTATTGCTTTATCTCTTTTTCCTATCTCCCACTTTCCTTCCTCTTTCACTCCTCCCTGCCCTTCCTTCCTCCCATCTCTCCATCTCTTAACTAATATATTTAAAGTTATATATTAGTTAACTTCTTTATATACACTACCGCTCATTAATTTCAATATACCCCTATATCTGTTAATTTCTTTGTAAAGGATGAACATGATACATATGTTTTGTACAGAAATGAATACATTTGTTGTTATAAACACTTGCATGCATTGCATTTTTATATATTATTTATATAAAAATGTCATGCATGCAAGTGAAATGTTTATAACAGCAAGTGCATTCATTTCTGTGCAAAACACGTATCATGATGTTCATCCTTTACAGAGAAATCAACGAATCTATTATATATTGAAATTAATGAGCGGTAGTGTATATAAAAAAGTTAACTAATATATAAATTTAAATATATTTGCAATATAATAAATATTTTTATAATATATAATACTTTTCTCTATATTGTTTCTTCTCTTCTTCTTCTTTCTTCGTTTTCTATCTCTATAGCTTTCTTTCGTCTTAAAATACTTTTTACTTTTTTATAAACAGCTTAAGGTATCGATACAATAAATAATACTATAAAAGCTACATTTGGATGGAACGGTAATAATTTACACATCCTATTATACCTCTATATTATGTTAAAATCATAATAGCGTAATGAAAACGATTTATAGGAGTAAATGTGATAGTATTTATGAAATAAAATTAAGTATGAAATATACATTTAAGAAATATTACTTTAATGATTATACTATCTTACGCGTTATTAACATCCCATACAGGCAAAGCAAATAGATACTATGATATACAGGATACCTTTAAACAATTCTTTCATTTTCTAACATTTTTTAGATATATTGTAATATAATTGTATAATCGTCATATTTTTTTACACAGAAATACTAACGCAAAATTATTCGGACATTGTCACTACTAAAATTAAAAAATCAGATGATAGGTAAAATACATATTTTTAATTCACATATCTCTCATTTACTACCGATCATTATTTCACAATGATACATTTGCAACGAAATAGATACGCCAATACCCAAAACGTATATCTGTAATCTAAACACAAGTTTTTATATTCTGGAAACGATACAAGTGTCTTAAAATACTTTTTACTTGTTTCTAAGCAGCATAAAATATCGATACTATCCGAATAATATAAAAACTACATTTGGATGGAAAGATAACAATTTAGACACCCTACCTCTATAATTATGTTAAAATCGTCAGATATACTGTAATATAATCGTCATATTTTTTTACACAGAAATACTAATGCAAATTATTCGGACATTGTCACTAAAAAATTAGATGAAGATAGTTTGTAATCATACAAAGATACTGTTTAGTTAATGTACACATCTTTTTAATTCACATATCTCTCATTTACTACCGATCATCATTTCATAATGATGCATTTGCAACGAAATAGATACGTCAGCAACATTCGAAACCATCGACTGGAAAAAGCATTCTTCTTGGTCTATTCGTTGTGACGGATAAAATCGTATAATTTCAGCACTTAGCAGTGGATTCACTTCAATTGATGCGATTTTAAGACAGAACTCAATTCAAAGAATCCTCGTTGTTCCTAAATATGCTTACAAAGCCTGTGAATGTAGCGTTAATTTTCCTGCCATGCGCATATCTTTCTTTTTCGTGGCTGTATTCTGATTAGGCATCATCTTGTCCGCAATATGCTTATAGACTTTTCTATTCAGCATTAACATAAAAAAGCCGTCGTACCATCTGAAATCGTTATATAATTGTCTTGGTATTATAATCAATTTTATAATAAGTGTTTCCTCTCCGATAGCATAAACAAAATTAATATTAGGAAATCTAAATTATTTTATTTTTTTCTAAAAGTAGAATAAAAAACGAAACTAAAAATCAAGTTTTTTTCAAATAATAGACAACTTGAATAAATTATAATTAATGTTTATAAGAACAATTTTATATTACTATTAAATGGAATGTTTAGAGCACTGATTACACTTACATTTCCTGGTTAGCGCTTATTTTATGACATGTTGTATTTTCCAAATTTTATTTCCAAAACATAGAAAATACCTTCCAGCCTGTATGACACCACGTATACGCCAACGAACCTGCACGGTATCATTTTCAGAATGCATTGTGATCTTTAGGATGTCAAGCTTGGCGTGTGCAAACTTCATATGACCAATGAACCTTAATAGTATCAATTGCTTCGCATAACTCACAAGTCCCCTGCAATATTTTTAAAGCATATTATGAGAAAATGAAAATACTTAATGCTAAAAACTCTCAATTGCTTTGAATACTTGATAAAATTAATTTTCGTTACTCCTCTAATATTGTTGATAAAAATTATATCATAATGGATAATAGAGACTCAATTTACAAATATTTTAGCATAACTTGCCTACAATACAAATTGCGCTACAGAACACTTTTTTGTTCTTTTCAACTTTTAAAATTTACAAGAAAGCATATGTATACGTACATACATGCGCAATTTTGGCTACACCTTCCTTCTTAAAGATCTCTTTGGTATCACCTCCCTGCGGTCAATATATAGCGGCAAAATTTTATACCACATAGTTGAATATGAAATGTTCTTGCGTGAGAAAACGAGAGAAAAGGACATTTATAATAGGTAATGACACACGATACGAACCACACAATAGTGTAAATTCGGGATTGGGGGAAGAAAGAAGGGGTAAAAGAGAAGAGATTCTTACAATTAGAGGCACTCTGTAGCAACTCGTATTATCTAGCACAAGAGGACCTCTTGTGCTAGACTATTATGCCTCAACAGTGTCTGACAATGAGAATTATTACATTTTGAAGACGCGAGATTGTACATTCAAAGCATCCAAATAAACGAAAGTAAAATACAATATAAACATACTTCGGAGAAATCTTTATTACGCGATAGTGCCTGTCACAAGGTGCATATAGATACCAGATCACTTTCTCGTTCTCTTAACTTTTACAACTTTTACAAGACGACAGCACATATACGTACGTGTGCGATTTTGGATACTCCTTCCTTCTTAAAGATCTCTTTGGCATCAGCTCCCTGCCGTCAATATATATTTCACTCTCACTATCTGTCACGCGGCGATGGTCACGACTGTCACTATCTATCTATTTCTAAGTTATCGCTGTGTTCCAGCATAGATCGGTCTTTCTTAACAGCTTCATGCGTCTGTGATTGAGAAAGAAATCTGATAAGCTCTGTATATCAGTTCAATATAATACGAATATGTATATACTTTTTAGATAAAAACGGTCAGTAAACTTTTATAAAACAATACTCTTTGAAATAATACAAGTGATAATAATTTTTATAATTACCTCTCTATATTATATATTACATGTGCATGAATTTTCTTCTAACGATATTTGTAATGTCATCAACTTTTCACGCTTGTTGAATATATTTGCACCATGAGCACCAATAGCTAATCCCATCATATCATCTCGAATATTTTAAATTTATCGGTATATCTAAAATAAGACAAATTTTACATAATGCAAAAACAGTAATTATTACTTACATCTGCTTATATATAATATACGATATATATATATATATATTGTGACGTTGCGGTTTCGCCGCGGCGTGGCAGCGCTCCGCCGCCGTCACAAGGCGCGGATTGCGCGCCCGAGGACGGCTCACGAATCAACCTTCGATCTCCAGGGGCGTATTAACGTTGCGATTCAAATATTCATTATTGTTTTTTTTTCTTGCGATATTGCGTGGCGCCTCACCCCGTCGAGTTGGAGTTCCGACGCCACACTGAAGATGACGAGGAGTACCAGGAGAGCCGGATGATAAACGGAATCACAAGGACCAAAAGCGAGATGTCGAGGGCGAGGAGCCCGAGTTACGAGGACCGCTACTAAGCGAGGGACGACGTGAGATGCGCGCGCTGCGCGCCAGCAACGGCAGGCGAACCTGTGCATCGCAGGGGCCCGGCGCCGGGCCTGTCTGCAGTCCTCCGAGGCCAGACGGACTCTGGGGGTGGATGGCCACCGCCCCCGAGTCGAGCCAGAGGACACCGCGGGAGTCATCGCCTTGCCTACTACAACGGGGAAACCTGGAAGAACCCCGCGAGCGCGAAGGGCACGTTCGAACGCCCCGCCGAATCCACGGTCGATAACCCTGCTAGCGGCTCCCGCGCGAGCTTGCGAGCTCATCGCCAATTGGTCCGCTTATCGCGCGGAAGGGTCGCGCATGTCCCACTAGGGGCGTTAGATCGACGCCTCTATCGAGCGCACTTCCGCGATCATTCTTGAGCCACCCTCGGGACGACACGCACGGCTTTCTTGAGCACTTCTCGACCGACTCTTGCTGCGCACTTGGTGCCTGATTCTCTCGCGACGGTTTTTGGTGACGGCGGAGAGGACAACCCCGACCGAGGAAGTATCTTACCGGTGAGGTTGCCTCGTAATAGACGGTAGTAATGTAAGCCACGACACCGCCCTCCGGGCCACGCTCTCGCCTAAAGTACTCGCGTAATTGAGATCTCGTAATTTTGCATCTGCGATCGAGAGCGAGAGCGAAGGGCTTTGGAATGGTCTCGTGGCCGGTGAATAGTACTCATCGCGTGAAAGTCCTGGAGATCGCGATAGATATCTCGATTCGGTAATTCGCGAACATTCTTACGGTATCTGTGGTTGCGATCGCGTATTACCCGGCGGTGCGTCACGCGCGACTCTCGTGATCGTAGTTTATTCGTCGAGAATGATTCTTTCGCGTTACGCCGTTTCAGTAATCTCGTGTGCTTGCGGTCAACTTCGCGTTTTCCTCGTGTAGATATTTTCCCCTGCGTAGATTTAGTTGTACATTGCGTTAGTATGTAAGTTCGTCATCTCGTGCGTTAGATTTAGTTTATTTCGCGTTAGTCTGTAAATCCGTCAAGACATTATTGCGTTGTGTAGTCTCGCGCTGGTTTAGCGCTATTCTCCTCGGAAAATACTCTTTCTTTCGCGTTGAATTAAGTACTCTTTTGCGTAGGGCGTATGTCCCGTAAAAATTAGTTAGATTGAGTACGATATTCTTCTCGCGCTGATGATTTCCTCGGCGCGATAAAACCTAAATATTTCGCGTTACCTGTCGCGTTCGGGCTTGATTATTGGCCCGTCGTTGTGTTATATTGCGCCTCGTATTTCGGGGATACGCTATCCTGGCGACAGCATTCTGAACAATCGCGACCCTGCGTACTTTCTGGAGTAAACTTGGCGTCTGAGATCGCGTAAAATTTTGACTTGTTTTCGGAGTTATTATTTTCCTGGTTGTAGCGATTTTTGATTTGTTCTTCCACGCTCACGATTATTCACGTCTCTATGATTCCGCTTTTGTGAGAGATGAATCAACGGTTCTTTAATTTATTAGAGCAATCTCGTGAGCTAATTGTTTCTTTTTTTTTCTCTGCAATAAATGTTAATCTCTTTTGTTATCAATTGTTTGAGTTTGTAATTTCTGGGTCGCCCGTCACAATTCGCGCTGCCCTATACCACCTTCGTCCCTGAGTAATACGCCGAGCTGGTCGATTTTTCGCACGCCGTTTAATTACGATAAACGTTTGGACAATTTGTGATAAATTTCGCGTTAGTGGACGCGGGATACCGCGTCTGGCGCCCAACACTCACGTTCGCGTTAGAAATTCGGTTCGTGCGAGAGATCCGTCGGAGAGGCCTGACACCCTACTCTCTCGCAACTCCCTTTTGATCCGGCTTTGCGCCCGAACGGGTAAAAAGTCGTGACAAAAATTGGCGCCCAACGTGGGGCGGCCGAAAGATCGCTGAAAAGCATAATAAGGGCTTGAATTAGCGCGATAACAATTTCGCGCGGGTGACGGCAGATTAATTAATTTTTTTTTCTTTTCTTTTCAGATTTAATTTTTTTTTGCTGAAATAAAGAAAATCTCTTATCCTACCTTTTTTCGATTCTGTTTTATTTTTATGCGATATTAAGTCTACTATGCGATATCTTTTTGTATTATCTTGTTTTCTGCGGTATGATGTGTGCTATATTTTTGTGTTTCTCATCTACTGTATGTTTCGCACGTTTTGTCTAACATTCTCTTTCAGGACGTAGTTATTCGTTTCGATCGCGTTGAATTATTTCGGGTGGGTCAAATTGTAAGTTCGCGATATTATTCGAAGTCGCGTATAGCGTCGGAATGTGGTGAAAGTCGGAGCGAGATAGTATCGGAATTCGGTGTTTACGTCGAACCGGCCGTACCGGCAGAAAACTTCACCGCTATAGCGTGTTGTCTTCGCATTCCTTCGTGTGTGTTTGCTCGCGTGTACTATTGTTCGCGTGTGTTAGTGCTCGCGTATACTATTATTCGCGTGTATTATCCTTAGCTAGGCTCGCTACGATTGAAAAGCGAGGAATGTTGTTGGCTTCGCGAACGGTTTGACTGAACGATTTTGTGGCCTTTTCGGGAACGCGTTAACGTTCGTGTTTCCCGCGCTATAGAAATTCGGGATTAGAGTAACCGTGAATAGTATCATCGCGTTACGATGGATTCTGTCGAACTTAGCGACGAGTGGATCCTCCTCGCGAACCGTGAACAGCGGATGGGCGAGTTAACTCGACGAGGGTTATCCGCGGAAGGGACCGACACTGAATTGGCCCTCCGGTTACTACGTTTGTTACGTCGCGGCGGAGACTCGGAAGGCGCCTCCGCGGTAAACCACCCGGTAGATACAGAATGCCTACAGGTTCCCGCGGGGAATACGCACCCGGATAGTCCGTCCGCGGATAGGATCGCGCGCTTCTCCGGCTCCCCGCCGGACCACGACAGCTTAAATGGGACCCTTCGGGACTCGGGCCATAATTCCGCTGCCGACGCCTATAACACAATGCGTAAATGGAAATTGAAATTCTCGGGCGCGCGCAGCGAAGATGCGGAAACGTTTTTGTTGCGCGTGGAGGAGGGCCGCGAATTAATTCCCGTCTCAGATGCAGACATTTTACGATGCCTGCCGTTCTTCTTATCGGGTATCGCGCTGCATTGGTTCCGCGGGATCAGGGATAGCCTGACTACCTGGGCCGCGTTTAGGGAGGAGTGGCGTACGCGCTTCGGGGACCCCGACTTCCAATTCGCGCTTCGCGACGAGATAATGCGGCGTACGCAGGGGGAGACAGAACCCGTCGCGGACTTTTTGACGTGCCTCAGCTCGCTATACGATCGGCTATCGCCGCCGTGGCGCGAAGAAGAGAAGGTCGGCTACGCGCACCGACACCTTCTACCTCGATTACAGACTTTGATTCCTAGGGACGCGGTAACTAATATGAAGGCGCTCGAGCGGTGGGCCACGCGAGCCGAGACTAGCTGCCGTGCCGCGCAAACTTATCGGGCACCTCCCCCGCCGGAGCAATCCTTATTTCCGGACCTCGCATATCGGGTAGCTAAGGGCGCGAATCGCCGTTCCGGCGGAAATTCTCGCGATACCGTGGCCGCGCTTGGTACTTCTACCGCAAATTCGACCGGGACCGGGGCGGGCGCCGCGAACGGGGA